CCTTGCTCCCACGACTTATATAGCCATCACCTATAAGGCGAAATTGAACATGGATTTACTCTTATGCTCATCACTGTCTAAAGTTCATTCGTACGGTAACAGTTGTTCGGTAATGTTTAAATTTTCATTTGTTTCTACAAATCGGAATGATATGAAATTTAGAGTGTCTATTTATAAAAAATAAGAGAATCTAATAAAAATATTTCAAAAAATATAAATTGACCAAAATACCCCCATAACTTTATGAGGGTATTTTGGTCAATTTATAGTTTACAAAATATTTTTTTCATATTTTTCTTAGGTGCGTATCACTAAGATACACATACACTCCAAATTTTAGATCATCCCGATTTATAAAAAAAAATGAAAACTGAAATAGTATAGGATAATTGTGACCGTGCGATGAAGTTTGGATGGTGATGAGGATAAGTTAAATAACTGGTCATTTTTGCCTATAGGCGTTGGGAAGAGTTTTCTTATATATATAATGGTAAACCTGAAATGTAGTACATGACTTTTACCATAAATGTTTCATGTACTTTGAAAAATGGCATTCTGGTCTTTTAAAATTAAAAAAGTGTTTTGTGACAGCGGACTCACTAGTCCACACAATCACAAACATCCATCTTTAAGATGAACATCCACAAGTAAATATTAATATTCAATAGATATGAAAATATTATAATAAAAATGTTTAAAAATAAGGAGATCCTTTTAGAAATCCTCTAGCCCCTTAGCTCCCCAAAAGAAACTCCTATGCTAGAATATCAGAGACCTAGGTAGCTATACCGAGCGCAAAGTTGACTCTACTATTGTTCTTTCCCACAGCTCCGTCATTCTGGCTTTGTTTGAAACAAAACCTCCTAGTCCCACGCTTTCCCTGGTTAGGGATTCATGGGCAAGAAACCTTGTAGCTAGTCAGCTATAGATACCCTTGGAGCCTCTGGGGGTATCTAGGCCATCTGGGACCGATCCATTATTTAGGTATATTCCTCACTGATTCTTAAGTTCTCTATAACTCTTTGCTTTAATAAACTATATGGCAGTTTCCTTTTTCAATTTGCTTTTGTTTATGGACCCAATTGTCAAAAAAGATGCCCTGACATGTGGTCTGAACTTCAATCAGTAGCTCCTTCCTCGATCTCCCCTGGCTCATCAGATGTGACTTCAACACAGTCCGATGGACGCATGAGAAGTTTAATGGTGGTCGTCTCACAATTATTATGATAGGTTTTATGAGTTTCATATATAAGTATCCCCCTCCTTGATATCCCTCTCACAAGAGCCTCCTTCACTCGGTCTAAACATGTTATTAATCTTATCATGACTAAAATTGTTAGGTTTATCGTATTTCAATTATGGGAATCCTCATTCCCATGTACCCATTCCCTTTGCCTTGGTTAAGACTACCTCAAACCACAAGCCCATTCTTCTAGACACTCTCTCCCTATCGCTCAATTAAACCTTTTAGGATTGAGCTATTTTGGTTAAAGGAGCCATATTTCCCTCAGGTTTTTAGCACTTGCTGGTTCTCTTCTTCTCTTCCTGGATGGACGAGATTCCGGCTATCCAATAAACTTCAAATTGTTAAGGCGACAATCAAGGTTTGGAAGCAATCCCTCCCTTCCAATTTTTTAGAACAAATTAAAGTTTACTCGGCTACCATTCAAACCCTAGACAATATTGGGGAATCCCAGCCCCTCTCACCTCTAGAAAGCTCAAATAGGTTAAATACTGAGGCTAACCTCCACCATATTCTAAAACTAGAAAAAAACTACTGGTACCAAAGATCTAGGATTAAGTGGCACAAACAAGGAGATCGAAATACAACATTTTTCCATAAAGACTACGAGCTCCAAAAGAAAGGCTAATGCCATCACACACATCTCGGTTGGAAGCCGCTCTTTCCACTTCCTGGACCAAATCAATCGAATCTTCATTCGACACTTCAATCTTTTTTTTTTTTCCAAACCCCTCCATCCCTTCCCCACCTTAGGAGATTTGTCCTTTCAACTCATTTTCCATGATCAAGCTCTTTAGATCATGAGTCCTTTTACTCTCGATGAAATTCGTAAGGTTGTATTTGACCTTCCAAAAGACAAGGCTCCTGGCATGGATGGATTTCCCGTTGTTGTTTTCCAACAATTTTGGGAGATAGTAGCCCCTGACCTTATGGCTTTCTTTATGAGTTTTTTTTTAGAGGGCGGCTAAATTCTACCCTAAATTGTACATTAATATCTCTCGTCCCCAAGATTGAAGGGGTTTATAAACTTAGGGATTTTAGGCGCGTTAGTCTTTTCAATTCCTCATATAAAATCTTAGCCAAGGTCTTTGCTTCCAGCATATAGGAGGTTCTGTCCACTACTGTCTCATCAATCAGTCAGCCTTTGTTGCCAGCAGATAGATTCTAGACGGTGCCCTTTCGTCCCATGAGGCTATTTATTATAGTGTCGTATCTGGTCAGAAATGCCTCGTTATCAAACTTGACTAGGAAAAGGCATACGATAGAGTTAGCTGAGACCTCTTAGACCAAATTCAAACTCATATAGGCTTTCCTCCTAGGTGAATATAGTGGAATCAAACTTGTATTTCTAGCCTCAAGTTTTTAATCATCCTCGATAGTACCCCTCAAGGCTTCTTCCTCGAAAAAAGAGGTTTGAAACAAGGTGAACCCCTTTATCCTTTTCTCTTTACTTTGGTTGGATAGTTTTTCTCCATATCCCTTTCCAAGCTCTATGATAGGGGATTTTTTAATGGGTTTCACCTCCTCTATACAGAGGACACTATCATCTTCTGCGATACTGCCCCTGATCAAGTGGCCTCTTTGTGGCTCTTCCTTCAGACATTTGAATTGCTCTCAAGCATTAAGGTCAATATGTACAAATAAAAAATGCATGGTATGTTAGTTGATCAAGATGAACTTCAGTCTCTCTTTCTCTTTATCTATGGTGTGCAGTAGAACCCCTACCTCCTTCTTATCCCTACCTCCTTCTTATCTTTATCCAGGGTGTGCAGTAGAACCTTTGTAGTAGAACCTGTACCTCATTCTTATATTTATAGGGTGTACCTCCTATCGTTATAGGGTGTACTTCTTATCTTTATAAGGTGTACCTCCTATCTTTATAGGGTGTACCTCCTTCTTATCTTTATCTAGGGTGTGCAGTAGAACCTATACCTCATTTTTATCTTTATAGGGTGTGCAGTATAACCTCTACCTCATTCTCATATTTATCTAGGGTGTGCAGTAGAACCCCTACCTCATTCTTATCTTTATCTAGGTCGTGCAATAAAACCTCTACCTCATTCTTATCTGTATCTAGGGTGTGCAGTAGAACCCCTACCTCATTCTTATCTTTTATCTAGGGTGTACAGTAGAACCCCTACCTCATTCTTATCTTTATCTTCTTATCTTTATCTAGGGTGTGCAGTAGAACCCCTACCTCCTTCGGGGGAATGATTACACTCACTAAAGCTCCCCATTTACCACATATACGGGTGGCAACAGGTTGGGTATGGGGTCGAGTCCAGCTGAGTTCGAACCTAGACCTAAAATAGTCTATTTTTACTTAGACCCAAACCCAACAAGTTTAAATTAAACACACCCAATGGATAATTTTGGACCCAAGACTCAAACCAATTACCCGAGACTCGGACCCATACACAACAATAGGCAATAAAACAATTTGGAAATAGGTTGCGTCATTGCCTCAAGCACCCACTGCCTTTGCTTTTACAGATCTAAACTTAATCATTTATTTATATTCCCATTGATGTGGGGCATTCTTAATAGACAACAACTTCCCTTCCTTTTAATACTTTGGAGCTCGCTTTACTTTGGGGGATTATGTATTAAAATATTTTAAACAATTAATCTAACTCTGTTGGGCAAATGGTGGTAGAAGTTCACTTCACCGCGCCCCTTGATTTGGAAATCCATCATCTAACATAAGTAATTGGCTGCGCGAAACTCCTCCTCATAGATCCTCTAGTGCTTGGAAGTGCATTGATTCCAATCAAATGTACTACATTTAGGATGAGAAATGTTATTCGTATAAGGTTATGGCTAGATTGGTGATGCCCCTCTCAATCAAGCCTTCCCTTGCCTCTTCATCACTGTTTTTGACCATGAAGCCCTTATTAATGACTATTGTGAATTTCACAATTCCTGCCTTGAGTGGACTCCCATCTTTAGGAGAAACCTCTCCGATATTGAAATCATAACCTTTAACTCCCTCCTTTAGTCTCTATTTTATTTTTTTACGCGCTTCATAGCCAAGACTCCCTCATGTGGTACCCTAACCCATCTAGCATTTTATCGGTAGCATTCTTCTACTCATTTTTGCTACCAAATCTTAAACCCTCTCCCATTATGAATAAATATTGGTCGCTCCCGGTGCCCCACAAAGTGCAAGTCTTCATTTGGGTCATCCAAGGAAAAACTCTTACCCTAGACCGACTTTAGAGGTATAGTTTACCCTTACCGAATAGTTGCATCATGTGCCTTAGGAGGAGGAAACCAACCCCACCTCCTTATTCACTGTGGTTCAGCCTTACTTATATGGTCCTCCCTTTTAAACCTTTTTGGTTTTCAATGGGTCATCCACCCTTCCATTTTTAGCCTCACCTTGCCTTTGCCCCATAATGGCAAGGTAGGGCAAATTTATGTGGTAGCTCTTCTTTGGGACATTTGGAAAAAAATTATAGGATTTATAGGGAAAGATATGTGGTAGCTCTTCTTTGGAAGGTCTCATCCTAAAAATAATAATAATAATAAAAAAATAAAAAAAAAAAAAAGAAAAAGGAAGAAAGAAAAAAAAAAGAAAAAGAAAGAAAGGGATATCAAACTTGTTTACTCATTTCTCTGATTTCATTCTCTTCTTATTAAGCTTTTTTTTTTTGCATATTCTTCCCTTTCTCTATTGCCCTCCAATCATTACTTTCCTGCATGAGTAATTGGGGTTTTTGTGAGGAATTATGGAGAAATCTTTGAAGCTCACCCTGGTAGTGTTCCATGGATTTATTACTTCATGCAACTTGCATTAAAACCACATTTTGTTTTTTCAAAAATATTTGGAGTGTAAACTCCTGATCTTTTGAAGTCCACCCTGATAGTCTACCATGCAAAAACTTATAAAACTTTTCTTAGAACTGATCTCTCTCCATGCACAGAGCTGCTCTCTGTCCCTCTCTCTCTCCACCATTTGAACATTCTCTTAGAGAGGTTTTTGGAGGTATACCTTACTTGTATAATATAAGTTGCCTCCTTACATAATTTTTTTCATATGCTAAAAATTTACTGCTTCTACAAAAGAATATATGTGCATTTGTTCCCTTAGGTAAAATTCAAGTTTAGGAGAATTTTTGGTCCCCAAATTTTGCAATGTAACCTTTATAACCTAAAAAGGAACCTAAAAAAAAGAAAATTTGAACCCCACTCTCTATGTGCCACTAAAAATCAAGAAAGTCCCTTGAATATGAACCATTCAATTTTTAAATGGAATGATCAAGGTGATCAATAATTCAAAATCCCAAATTTTATCAAAAACTATCATCTGATAATATTTAGATAGATATAAAAAATTCGGATTAAAAAGGTTCTTCTTAGTAGCTGTTTTGCTCGAGGGATTTGTTGTACAGTTTGCTCCCGCTGGAGCATTGTGTACGCCTTGGACAGCACTGATCTCTTTCTCCCTCTCTCCGATTAAAAAAAAAAAACGAAAATACAGACACTCACTCTCTCTAAACACGAAAATAGTCTACACGAAAATACACGCAGACTTTCTCTCTCTAAATACGAAAATACTCTCTCTCTACACCAACATACACGCTCTTTCTCTCTCTCTCTAAACACAAAAATACTCTCTCACTGCATATAAACACTCCCGCGCACTCACAGTTTATCATCCTGTGTTTCCCATTGAGTTTCGGAGAATCACACTTCCGTCTCTCTCTCTACGTTTCTCTTTCTCCCTCTGTAATTCCTCTCTCTTCCGAAACTGATGTGCGACTTTAATCTCTTTGGATCCATGAGACCCCTTTGAATGAATTTGTTGTTTTCAGGCATATTGGTGGGGACCTGATTCAAGCTATTCAGAATGCCTCAGGTTAAGATCGTCCCTAAGAACTTCATGGACATGGTGGCCGCCCTTCCTGCTTCGAAGCTTGATAGTCTTTATACTAACACTTTCTTTTGTGAAGCCGTTCTAAGGTTCCTCTTTTTCTCTCTCTCTCAATAAATTATTCTATTTCTTTTTTTTTTGAACAAGAATTATTCTATTTCTTTTTTTTTTGAACAAGAATTCTTCTATTTCTTTTTTTTTTTGAACAAGAATTCTTCTATTTCTATTTCGCTTCCTATTGCTTTACTCTCTCTCTATCTATCTCTACCTATCTCTACCTCTCTCTCTAATGGATCACGTTTTTGCGTCTGATTGTTGGTTTTTTGCGATTAGTGGGTATAATGAATTGAATTTGAAGTTTCTGATGAATTTGTTGGATTTTTAGGTGGTGTGTTTTCATTTTATGCAGTTGAAATAATTTGGGCAATTGATGGTTAGGAATAATAGGCGGAAGTAAATTTTAGTCTGATTTGATGTGGTCTGATGTTTTGTGTGTTCATTATTGCAATGTTTATGCAACTGATGATGGGTTTGATTTAAATTTGGAAATTTCATTGAAATTGATTGGTTCAAGTGTGTTTTTGTGGTTGCTGTAATAGCTCTCTCAATGGCACAGGGCTCATTCAATCCTTCTTCTTCTCCTACGTTTTTTTTCTCAGCACAGTAAAAATTGTAAAAAGAAAAAAAGAAAAAAAATTGGGGTTTTTGTGTGAAATTCAGGAGAAATCTTTGAAGCCCACCCTGGTAGTGTTCCATGTAAAAACTCATTCAACTTGCATTAAAACCACATTTTGTTTTTTCAACATATTTAGAGTTTAATAGGTTTACATTCTAAAAAAAAAAAAAAAAGGAAATTATCATAAATATACCTGAATTTTTTCCTAATTGGAAAAAAACCTCAACTTTCATAAACTTCGTCCGCACCCATTTTCCTCAATTTTGATATTTTTTAGGTCAAAATAGCCTTCACGGTAGTCGTATTGACATAATGACTACGCATTATGGTACTTTAAGCACCGTAATGACCAGGCTAAGCATTACAATACTTTAAAGACCGTAGTGCTCAATTGATCTCTTTCTCCCTCATTTGCCACATCTCATCAGACTTCTCGTTTGAGATAAGAAATCTTTCCCCGTTTTTTTTTTGAGCAAGTCTCAAGAGTACTTTTGAAGTTGCATATGGGCTAAAACACTTGAAATCACCTTGAACAAAGATTGTTGTCAAGAACTTGCAGAGCCATAGTTAAAACTGAAGTTGTTTTTCTTTTCTTAATCTTTATATATAGAATTCTGTATTTGACATGTGTGCAAAGAGCACATTTTCAATATGCATATCTGTGAGTGACTCATTGTCTAATGTGCTTCCTTAGGTCTTTGCCACCAGTCTCCAAGATGTATGTTTTGAGAATGTTGTATATTGACGCTGCAGTAAGTGCCAAGTTAATGCAAGAATGGGTACTTCCAGATAGTTTCTCAAAACATAAAGCTGCAATTGATCGGTTATTACAGTTGAGAGTATTCACTGAATCCATTGACAGGTACTTGTCTTATTAATTGGGTTTCTGTTCTCACTTATCTAAAACTATTTTTATAGCAATTGATGACCTGGGTTTTTCCATTGTTCATATGAGGCAATAAGGCGGCAGCGGCATTAGATAATACAAAATAAGTGGGTGGCATTTTCTTTGGATAATTGAAGTGTTGTCTAGTTTTTTAGTAGGAAGGGATGATAATACATCAATAGAATCTTTGAAACTTGTTAGGTTGTTCTTCAAAAGTCAAAGGATCTTTATAACTGGTGAAGTTAGCACCATGCATTCACTTATCTCATAAAAAGAACCATGTGTTCACAGATGAAGGAATCAATATCATGAAAGGAGAATGCAATAGGTTAGCATATGTGGGTGGCCTGCTTCTTGATACTCAAGAGCACGCTTTAGCCTCTAGAAGTGTCACTAGAATGATAAACTGGTTTGGTGAAATGACATGGTGGGATGATTCTATCAAAGAGTAAAATTAAAGAAGCTTGAGAACATTTTTCTTATTTTTCCCTCTTTGAAACTTATAATGATAAGTGCTTTCGACAACTTGAGAACATGTTTTTATACATTTTTGTGAAGCCTTGGTTTGGATGTGATATGTTGCTGCAGCTTTTATGACCAGTAGGAGGACTTACATGTGTTTAATTGCAGTATGTTATTATTAACAGCTGAGTGTATTATTCACACTTAGTTTTCTTTAGTTGGAAGAAATATGGAAATCAGTTTTCTGCATAGCTTGGTTTGTAGGTATTTTTTGCAAATGGAAATTCATTTTTGACTGTTCTTATTTATCTTTGTCAGATTGAGAGCATCATATATGCCATATTTGTACTGTCAGATTGGATGGATGTGTAGTACTGAGCCATCTACTTCCTTTTCAATAGCTTACTACATTGTCTGCATTAGAACTAATGTTATCTTATACTGTTCACAGGAAAAGGGAAATCAGTTATAGACTAAATCCCAAGTATCAAGAGAATCTTCGGAAATACTTGGTACATGGGTAAGGGCTTCATATCAAATGGCCAGTTGTTCTTTACGATGAAATAAAGCTCACATGCACGTGCCTGTGCAAAAACATTAACACGTTTGTTTACAGCGAACAGATGAGATAGTTCAGAGTTACTGAAGTATGAGAAGAAATTATTCCATTTCCAAAAAAAGAAATTTTTTTCAAATGTTTGCCAGATTTTTCTTACTTTTGTAATACACAGAAAATCATAGCATGTTTCTTAACTTATGTATTTCCTTCTTTTTTTTTAACACTTAAAAGAAAGAAATCCCGAAATTCTCCCCCCCCCCCCCCCCCTGTAAAAGGCTAGCATTTGTTTGGTAAGATCACCTCATTCCTTGATGCATTTTCTGATGTAGTTTGTAAAGATTAGTATTTAATGAAACAATGGTTCCTTTTCGGAAAAAAAGGAAATCTTCCCTGAAAAGGCCAAGCTCTCAAAGTGCTTTTCTTCCCTGGTATGTATTTGCATTCCTTATTGTGGGGACTTACTATCTCTTCCCCTAATGCAATATGCTGCTCTTGTAGAACTCAGTTTTTCCTTTCAAACTAGCTACCCTTCCTTCAATTAACTTCGAGATTTTTGTCTTTTTTTCCATTGGCATTGACTTAACTTCGAGATGATTACTGGTAAGAGGCATCAAGGGGCATATCTCATGGGGACTAAATCTGATGCAATGGGCTGCTCTTGTAGGAGTTATTTCTACCTTTCATTTTGGTTACCCTACCACTGACTCAAACCTTGAGTGATACAAGACACTCAGTTGTTTATTGATTTCGAGTTTCATTCTGTTCAATGGAATTCACAATTTGTTTATGAAGCATATGTTCTCATCCTTCAGGACTTTCTTGGGTTCATTATTAGTTTGCAATTAGGATTTACTTAGATCTGTCTTAGTATGTGCTATCCATAAAAAGTTGTCTATACCTCAAGCAACTCATCTTTGCTGTCTTAACTAGTTCGAATTTCTGCTATATGTTTTGTTTTGGCCAAATTACGCATATTTTTATGATCCAAGATTTTAAAAATTGCAGTGGGACTTTGTCAAGAGAGCCGATGCCTTCGAGTGTTACTGTGAGGCTCCCAACCCTGGAGGAGCTAGATGCATATGCCCTTCAGCAATGGGAGGTTGCTCTATCCGCACCTTTTGTTTGCCTTTATTTTGCAGGCAACTTAGAGAAAGCATAGCTTGTTTTAAGACTGTACATCCTGTTACTATGATCCTTGTCAAATTTGGCTTTTCAACTTAGCTATTGTGGCTACTGGATATGCCCTTCAGCAATGGGAGGTTGCTCTATCCGCACCTTTTGTTTGCCTTTATTGTGCAGGCAACTTAGAGAAAGCATAGCTTGTTTTAAGACTGTACATCCTGTTACTATGATCCTTGTCAAATTTGGCTTTTCAACTTAGCTATTGTGGCTACTGGATTCTGGTAGATGGAATATTCTGTAATCTTACAATTTTGTGATTCTTGGCAATCCAGTGTTTCTTGCTGCAGCTTATCAATTCATCTTTAGTAGAAAGGCCAACAAACTTCAGCCCTTCAATGATGAAAGTTTTTCAGCGTGGTCTTATAACTACAAGGTCTTCTCCATCTGATGCTTTTGTACTCACATACTTCTTAATTAATCTGGCAATCTTTAAGTATTTTCTGCTGAAATTGTCTTACTGTTGAAATTTTGACAGAGACAATGAAGCTCCAAAATTAACTGAGAATGGCTTCCGATTTTTGGTATGTATGGATTTCATTTTCATGCACAAACTTGTTACTCTATTTTTCCACATGCTGTCTTACATATGTATGACACACAGTTAATGGAGACCCATACCCAACTCTGGTACATCATGAGAGAGTATATTTCGACTTCTGAGGTATGAATTGTAAATTGGTTGATCTTGTATCTCTTATCTGGATCATAGACTTCAATCAAAACTTTTACATGGCAAAATTTATCTTCCTGATAGTACTTCTAAAGTTTTTTGCAATCAATTAAATGCCAAATCTTTGGGTGAGATTTAGCTGGAACTATGTTGCTTGTCTCGTGTCTAACCTTTATTTGTTATAGGGACGGGGCATGGATACAGCAGAGCTAATTTCATTTTTATTGGAACTCAGTTTCCATGTAACAGGAGAGGTATCACATGAAATTTGTAGCTTTTTCTCTGTTATATTTTCCTTTGGCCCGTTCTACAGAGCAGTGGGTGTAGAACTATTATTATTTTATTCTATTTTCCTTTGGCCCGTTCTACAGAGCAGTGGGTGTAGAACTATTATTATTTTATTCTATTTTTCCTTTGTCTTGAGTGGTAATCCTTTTGTTCTAGGCATATAACATGAACACTTTGACAGAAGTGCAACAAATAGCAATAAAGGACCTTGCTACTCTGGGTTTGGTTAAACTTCAGCAGGTATTGCAGCTATAATTAATGCATATTATCTTAAAGCATTTTTTATTGATTTCTTGAATATTCACTGATTCTTGTATTTTACATCATTTTTCGTACCCATAGGGAAGGAAAGAAAGTTGGTTCATTCCCACAAAGCTGGCTACTAATCTATCTGTCAGTTTATCTGATTCATCATCACGAAAAGAGGTTCTAACTTATATGTCCATTCTTTTGAAGTCTTTACTTATAGGTCTTTTTGATTTATTATGGTTCGCAGACCTGGTTTGGCTGCTTTCCATCCACCGGCTTAAATATAGTATCAAGCGTGTGAATTACCCAACTGGTAAATGAATACTTTGGTGGATTCTATCTTCACAGGGCTTTGTGGTTGTGGAGACAAATTTTAGATTGTATGCATATTCAACATCTAAATTGCATTGTGAAATCCTTCGTCTTTTTTGTCGGTACGCATCTCTTCCTGTTTTATTAGAAGAAATTTCTTGCGACTATACCCTCCGGATGACATTTGAAGTACAAAGAGGACTCTTTTTTTTAACGTCTGTGTACGATGAATTTGCATATTTGATGCAGAAATGCGGCAATCTTACATTTTTGATGCTGTGTGCTCAATATTAATTCAGGATAGAATATCAGCTTCCCAATCTTATAGTTGGAGCAATAACCAAAGAGAGCCTTTATACTGCTTTTGACAATGGCATAACTTCAGAACAGGTGTGCGTTATAACTTCCATTATGAGTTATCTTCTTATCTATGTTACCACTATGGTTGTATTTATTAATTGTGATAGAAGAGTCTTGGTTTGAAAGGAAATGCAAAAAAGAAAAGCATATGTACACAACATTTAGCAAACACGCTAGGCTCAAAAAGGGCAAGGGTAGGCCCAAAAGGACATGGTTGGAAGTAATGAGAAAAGATATGGGGACTTATGGTCGCATTGAGGGTATGACCCTTGATAGAGACGAATAGCGGACCAGGATTCGTGTATCCGATCCCAATTAGGTGGAAAAAGGCTCTGCTGATGATGATTTAGCATACAGCTTCGAAATGGGGTCACCGACCATTATTCGTGACAACAGATAGCGGATATTGACCTTGTTTCCCAATGACGAGCATTCACCTGCTTTTGGTTGCATTCTAATAATTGTAACTTGCTCTTGTATTTGGCTCGTTGCTAATATTTTATTACCGGTGTAAGTTATGAAGCAACATTTTTTCGAGGACCACTACCATATAAACCATTAATAGATATCTTTTTTTTGTGTTTGGAAAGGTGAAATCGTGAAAACTGTCCATAGGTTGGTGACCCTAGAACTGTGAAAACATGGTTTCCTTGTTGAAGAACAGTAAAAGAATTTTAAACACTTAGGATGGATAGAAATTTGATTCATTTTATTGGAGATTCCAGACAGTTGGAATCTTAGAAATTGGCGAGATCCCACAAACTATCATGTATCCTGGACTGGGAATTAACACAACAATTGTGCAATGTATGTCTGTTAGATAAAGCCATTTCTTTGGAAGTTTCTATAATTGCAGCTAATATTATAAGGGAAAGTATATGAAGAGACCGTTTAACTTTGATAGCACTCTGGCAAAAAACCACATTCACTCAAGCAGATGTGGCTTCTAGGATGTACTATTGATAGCACTCGAAAGTTTTTGAAAATTTTTCTTGGATTTTATGTAGAGAAATGGCATATAACCACAACCGCGATTTCGCATTTGACAGCTAGTGGTGATTGTGACATTTTTGTACCAAAGATAAATAGTCTTGTTGTACAAAATGGCATATTATTATTGTTGTTGTTATTACTGTTGTTGTTGTTATTGTTCACAATCCCATATTATCATATTATTACATTTATTTTGATTGATTTGCAGATAATATTGTTTCTTCAACAACATGCTCATCCCCGTGTTGCACAAAAAGCACCTGCAGTGCCTGAGAATGTTACGGATCAGGTACACCATTCTTGGAATTTTGGGCTTCTCTGATTCTACAATTACAATTTATAATGGGAAAAAATACGAGAAATTATTAGTTTTATTAATACCTTTTGTATTTTCTTGCATGTATTCGTGTTATGGTATGGAATATGTTTACCGCTTAATTCATATTGTACAGATTAGGTTATGGGAAACTGATCTGAACAGAGTTGAGATGAATCTGGCTCATTTCTATGAAGATTTTCCTTCAATGGTGATTTTCTTGAGCCTTATTTTATGGGAAAGTAGACAATGAAAAACTAGTTGTCTTTGGTACAAAAAAGATCACAACCACCCCCTCGCCATCAGATTTGAAATTGGGTTGATGGGGTGTACTGCTGATCGGGCTTGCTTGTAGTTCAAGAAATTTTTCCTTGGACTTTGTACAGAAAAAGGACACCCCCCAGCCGTCTGATTTTATATGTGATGTCTTGGAATATTCATTACCTTTGTATAAGAAGGATAACGGTCTACTTATGTAAATTCCTCCCTTTTTTTGTAGCTGTGCGATATCGTTTGTTGTCTTTGAGAGATTGAATGCATTTTCTTTTGTCCAATATAATGGCAATGGACTGACATCCAGCATTGTTTCTTAGAACCGATGATGTTTTCTATGTTCTTTTTAATCTCCTTGCAGTAAATTTGTCTATCTGAAGGTCTTTTCCTTAGCATCTACTAAACTATTGATTTCCCTCACCGAGAGAGAGAGAGAGAGAGAGAGAGAGAGAGAGAGAGATATGGTTGCTATGTTTGTCTTTCAGTTTCTTTCTAGGGTGGGGGAGAGAGAAGAGAGAGATGGTTGCTATTTTTTTGTTTTATCACTCTTTCTAGAGAGAGAGAGGGTTGCTATGTTTTTGTTTTATTGACCTCTTTCTAGGGAATTTGTCTATTTGAAAGTGTTTCCCTTATTAGCATTTCCTTGGCTGATTTGAGTTTTTCTGTGATGGCTGAATCGCAGGACATATATGAAGCTGCATGTGATTATGCAAGGGAGTTGGGAGGGTTCCTTTGGGAAGATTCCAAGAAGATGCGTCTCATCGTTCGTGGTGAAATGCATGAGGAAATGAAGGATTTCCTCCGAAGACAAAAATAAACCCAAAAAAAAGTAAAAAATGTTTACATTTTGTTTCCGCTGCACCATTGGTGGAGAGAGAGGGACAGGGAGAGCTGCCATTAGATTGTCTAGAGAGAGGTTAACGAGAGAGAGCTGCCATTAGATTGACCAGAGAGGTTTTTGTGCTGCCCCATGGTGGTGGAGGAGGAGCTGTCGTGAGAGAGAGCTATAACCAAATTGGTAGAGAGAGAGAGAGAGAGGCCTGTGTTACCCCTTTGGAGAGAGAGATGGATTGTTCAGAGAGGTGTTTGTGTTCCTCCATTGGAGAGAGAGGGAGAGGTCATTAGAATGGTTAGAGGGAGAAGATGCTGCCCCTACAATATGTGTTATAGGGTCTTTAATAATAATTAAGTGGATCGGGGCTCTAAGTAACAAAGATGTATCTTTCTGTTTTCTTTATGAAAAAAATGTTGCAATATCTTCCTTTAGAATGCATGGTGGTTTGATTTCTCTCCTCAAAAACCTACTTACGAATTTATCATTTTTTATGGAAAAGAATGCTCAAGCTTTGACTGTAAGTATTGTTTCAAGTAAAATAAAGCTATTAAATGCATAAAAACAAGGAAAATGGTTTGATACAACTGCTGTCAAAATACGTGGAAAATTATAGATACTACTAAATTTCAACTATTTATGCATCTTATCTCTAATATATATATTTTTGTTATATTTTAAACCTCAACACTAATTTTCTTTGTATTTACTCCAGTTAAATAATCAAAGCATCTTGATGCCAAAATGTCTTTTTTCCCTTTTTTTATTTTTTATTTTTTTTTAATTGTCCTTTCTTAAACATGTTATCCTCTCTTGTTTTGTCTCTCTCCACCTATCCTCTCTTACTTTTTCTCTCTACCCTCTTTCACTCTCTCTCTCTTTTTCCTCGTTCTATTTCTCTTTACCACTCTCGTATTTATGTTGCGGTTGGCATGTTTTTGTGTCGAATCAAATTTTTTTTAACAAATTTTTTTTCAGTTGGACACACAAATGTGTCGGATTGTATTATGGGTATGTGAGTGGTAGAAAGATGGATAGTAGAGAGGAAAAGATCGATAGAGAGAAAAATGGGGAGGGTAAAGATAAAAAAGAGAGATATAGAGAGAAATGGGTGGAGAGAGAAAGAGAGAGGATAAGTGAGCATTGTTTTTATAATTAAAGAGAGTTTAAGAGAGATAAAAATATAAAAATTTGTTGAAAAGGGGAAGTGAGAGAAAAAAATGATATTTTGGTATCAAAATATTTTGACTATTTGATTGGGAATATAAATAAAAAGAAAAATATTGTCGGGTTTAGGGTATAATAAAAATAACATTAGGGTAGGATGTATAAAAAGTTGAAATGAGGGTATCTATTATTTTCTATCTTCGTCTCATAATTCATAAAAAGTTGTAATTCGTCGAAAAACCTTTAAATGGATCATCTCAACTTGGACATTATAGATCCAAAAAAACAGTAAAATTTAAAAATAGTATACATTGCAAAAAAGTTATTTAGGCCATTCATTTTACCCTAATTTTTTTTTAGTTTCAAATTTTATTGTCAGCTCACAATTATTTTTAGGCTCAGCCCTATGTATATGGACATGGTATTTATTCCCCGAAGGACGCAGACTTACATATTCGCCCTTTGAGCTCTCTGTCTCTCTCCTCTCTCCCCTTCCTGACTCTTCCCATTGCTCTTCACCTCCTTTTAACCTTTTGCTCCATTTTCTCTCTCTACGTCCCTTTCCCAGTTCTAGCCTCTCTCACTACCCCTTTTCTCTGCCCTTCTCTCCCCATCTCTGCCTCCTTTTCTTGTAATTTTCTCTCTGATGGAGATTCGAGTAATTCATTTTGAGCTCCAAAAGGGAAACATCAGCAAATCTTGTATCATAGAGGAGATAGTGAAAATGGAGAAGAAGATATTTCCAAAGCATGAATCCTTGGCTTCCTCTTTCTATGAAGAGCTGAGGAAGAAGAACTGTGGCCTCCTTTACTCCCCTTTGACTGTCAATGGAAAGGAAGAGGGAGTTGCAGGTTATGTCCTGTACTCATGGCCTTCTTCCTTGTTTGCCTCCATCACCAAAATTGCAGGTCGCTTTCTGCTTTTCTTAATTGGTTTCTCTCTCTCTCTATCCCTTTCTACTTTTCTTTATTGGGTTTCTCTCCCTCTCTAAAAATCTCATGTATTTTTTAACGAGTATCCTCTCTCTCTAACAAATTTAGTTCCCTTTTCTAATTGCGTTTTTCTTTAAATTCCATTTCTTGCTTAATCGTTATCTCTATCTAACGACTGAGTGTATTGCCCTCTCTCTAGCACTTTCGGGTTTTCCTCTAAAGAAATTGTCCTGCTGAATCACATTCTCTAACTATTGAAAGTGATCAGAAATTTCTCTCTCTCTCTCTCTGTAATCACTGTATGTCTTAGATATGACAAAATTCAATTATGGGGAATTTGTATATTGAGGATGGGTGTTTTTCTTTGGGGTGGGTTGTTTTGCTGTAGTGAGAGAAAGTTGCAGAAGGCAAGGGCATGGAAAGGCATTGATTGAAGCAGCAATTGAAAGATGCAGAAGAAGAAAGATAAAAAGAGTTTGCCTCCATGTTGATCCTTTGAGGACCCCTGCTCTTTCTTTATACCAAAAACTAGGGTTCAAAATTGACAAGATAATCCACTCCTATTACTCTCTTCAAAGAGATGCTTATAGGATGTACTTGGATTTTGATGATTGAATTTTAGTGCCCCTTGAATGTGTTGCAAATATGCACTATTTCTAGAATTTACAAATAAAGTTTCAACAAGGTATAAATGAAGGAAAAAGTTTGTATAAGGTTGCAACCTTATACTGTAGAGGAAAGGTGCATCACAAAAATCCGACAAGAGAATGTTCCCACGTAGGAGAACCCTCCAATGTATCATCTCGGCCGGCCTTGAGATGAACGGAGAAAAAAAAAAATTCTAAGTTAAAAAAATAGTACATCTTGTATAAAGTTACCAAGACCGTCTATTTTCAAGATTTTCAAATGTTATTGATTTACTTTTTTAAATTTTCTAATTGAAGATAAAAAAGAGATTTTAAGGCCATCATAAGAATTTTTATTCCAAAACGACTTATAGGTGCACTTGACAGGAGACAACTTTATACAAACTTCACCCATAGATCAAATATATCAATAAACACTTTAAAATATTGAAAATAGGCCATCTAAATAACTTGTTATATAAAATAAAGTATTGTTTGGACTTGGGATTCATTTTCTTCTGCCTTTCTATAGATATCGGGGTCGAGATGAACAATTGGAGGGTTCTTCAACACTCTTCTATACGATCCTTACTTCAATAGTATAAGGTTGCAATTAGACCAGGCTTACTTTCTCTATGAAGGCCGAGATTATCTTGGATTTGTTCCTTATAAATGATTAGGGCGTGTTTGGTTACTGGAAGTCGTGGCTTTTGTGTTACACTTCCTGGGTTTATTTGTGAGAAGTGCAATGTCTCGTAAGGATCCGGGCTTGGGTCAAGGCAATACCAACTGGGTTTTCATAGTACTACATCTCAAATTCTATTCAAAACAAAAAAAGAAAAAGAAAAAGAAAAAGTGCAACGTCCCATTGTTTATAGAAACTGCATCTTGTTTAAATGGGTGCAGTTTGTATATAGCTGAGGCTCGAAGCAATCTTATATATATTTTTTTCTAAACTATAGACTACATTCCAAAGAAATAACAAAATATCATGGGGACAATATTATATGGGCATACTAAAAAGTGTACATACCCACTATCTGCTAATTTTACCAATTTTTCTTATCTATAAATGGTGGAGATGATAAAATGATAAAATGGGCTAATTTAAATAGGAAAAAGTTTATATAGAGCTTAGGGTTTAAACAATCGAATTAGAGCCCAATTCAAAAATGTCATTCGCAGAGATTGTTTTGATGCTCAAATATCTTTAAATTGATCAACTCGACATCATGATGCATGAACATGAGAAAAAAAAAGGCTTTCAAGTTTTGGAAATAGTGCATCTTGTAACGCATTTTCGGACTGTCAGTTTTCAAGTTTTCATAGATCTGTTCGATTTATACTATTTTTGAAGGTTTAAATTTATAATTTAAAATAAAAATATAGAAACTGCATCTTATTTGAAGGACCTGGTTTCTATGCAGCCAAGCCTGTATATGTGGAAATACGGGCTTATTAATAAATCTATTTTTGGACTTAATTTTTAAGGACATGTAATCTTTAACATAGAGATTATGAATATGAAAAAATAATTAAATTTTAAAACCCATAAATAATAATAATTCTAGTAAGAAAACACTTGGGCTGTTTGTTTCCATTGTTTTTAGATGAAACACGTACTTGCATCCATCTTTACGATTGAGGCTTTACACTTTTTGGACCGTGTATGTAGTCATGCGGTCCAGCCCACATGAGACAATTTTCCTATTTAAATTGGCACTGTTAATCATCTCCATCATCTATGTATAAGGAAAATGATAGATAGTGGGTACGTATGCTTTTTAATATGCCCATAGAATATTGTTCTCATGATATTTTGTTATTTTTTTAAAAAGCAGTCTATATTTTAGAAAAAAATTAAATAAAGTTGTAGCAAACCACACCATTAATTTTATTTAGATGGTACAGATTGGATACTATATTAGAAGACATTCTATATTTTGACACTATCTTAAAAAATGTATCAAATTAACATCATCTAAATAAAATAAACATGTAAATTACTGCAACTTTATTTTTATAAATAAGACTTCAACCTCATAAAAACTGCATATATATTTTTTCTAGACCACCATAATTGTGGATTAGTGCAATTTTTTTTTTTTATTTCTAGACCCAACATCCACTTTTCATAGTGTTTCTCGCTTTTAGAGCCCATTTAAAAAAAAATATTAAAAAAAATTGTTTTGATGTCCAAATATCCTCAAATTGATCATCTCAACATCAATATGTATGGACATGAGAAAAAAATAGATTTCAAATTTAAAAAATAATACAGTATTTTTGGACGGTCAATTTTTAATATTTTCAAAATTTCATAAATACACTCGATTTACATTATTTTTTAAAATTTAAATTTTATAATTAAAAATAAAGATATATTTTAAAATTATCTCAAAATTTTCACTATTAAAACCACATTTCTACACACTAATAGAACGACACATTACTTTGATTGTTTAGGGCCTCGGCTCCATACAAACCGCACCCGAAATAAAAATAAAGAAATGTATATCAAGGCCTTAACCCTAAAAAAATTGTTGTCCCACTACAAGGAACTCAAAAAAATCTCCCCTCTCTCTCTCTCTCTCTCTCTCTCTTCTCTC